TTCCGTTCTTTGGGTCAGTACAAATCCATGGCATTCAGGTTCGCCATTGGAGCTGTGGCGACCCGGGATGTGGAGGGACTTTGTAGGGGCTGACCGGCGGCGAGCGTTTGCGTGGCGGCGAGTATTAGGCAACGCCCTCGGTCCCCATTTCTATGTTCATCTCGCTCCACACCCGCACACATATCGAGCAATAGGTGAAAATTGTCGTCGATACAAACCGAAACAAAGACGCTTGGAGGCCCCTGGAGAATTCCCACAAGCATATTTCTTGAAACGTTGAACGCGTTTAGAGCTGAAAAGTTGCCCCCAGCGAATGAGTTGCGCCGCTCCCGCCACGGATAGAATACGCATTGTTGCCAAGTGTTTGAAAACAACAGGTGGAATACAAAACGAAGTCATTCGCGGCAAGCAGCCCGAGTGCCAATCTTCAACGGGATGGAGGACCCCAGTGCACGATGGTTACATATCATGACTGTTTGTGGCGCTGTTTCTCACACCGCCATACTCTCACATTGTGAAGATGAATCAAAAGAATTAGTATCAAAGACTCGAATTCCAAAACTGGCTTCCGCGGAGCAGAGGATCGCAGTTCGAAAAGAAACAGACTTGATTCTCCAAGCTGAGACCCGTCTTGAGAAGGCCTTGTCAACTGCTTGTCAGCTTCCCATCGGGCCTCCAAGAGCCCCAGCAACCACAGCTGTTGACCCAAATAATAATCCCAGAATAGCAAAAATCTCCTCACCTTGCCTAAAACACGAACCTTGAGTGGCAAATGGATCTATGCAATGCTTGAGTGTATCAAATGTCTCGTTGCACAATGCTGGAAACAATGCTCTCCCATTCCTCTATCTGTGCTCATTTCCCGGATATTTATTAAAGCGTGTGCCACGGGCCAGCGCCCCTCACAGCCTTGGCCCACCGCATGATGCAATTCATCACCAGCCTTTCGCCCATCAGGTCCGTGATAAGCCCAGTAACCACAGCTTGCAGCAAACATAATAACCGCCAGCAGTACGGCTATATGCACCTTGCCTAAACTATTAACCTTGCATGGCAAATGGAAATTTTGAATGACTGACTACTCTAACTGTCATGTTGCAAAATGTTGGGAACAAAGCCACCCCGCATCTGCCACTAGTGTGTATTGCCCGGATTTTCATTCAAGGCACCAGTTGTATGTGCGTACTTAGTCCACAGCAAGTGATGAAAAGGCAGTTCGAGCCATGCTCGGCTGAAGCGCCAATAGCCATAGTATGCGGCATCAGCAGCCATGACGTCTGGCGGGGGGTCCACAGCCAACTGCTCCCACATGTCCAGCCTTGGAACCCTTGCCCTGGACCCCATCAGGGACAGTGCCTGCACCGCTTTGTACTGTTCCGGGATCTCCATGAGGGCGTTCAAGGCAAAGTGCGCCTCCCTCTTGGCATCGTCCTGGTACACAGAAGCCCGCTCCATTTGAAGTGTGAAATTCACAAACTGAAAGTTGTCGAATTTTCGGGTGGGCAGCGTGTCGTCGAAGGCAGCCATTTGGTCCCATGGTCCGTCCCCAACTCCCACCATTATTATTGACATCGGGTAGTTGGAGGCCTCTGGCGGTGACTTGGCACCAGGGTTTGGGCGAGGATCAGGGGTGCATATTCACCACGTCCCGGAGTGCCTGCCGGATGAGGGGCCCAAACGACGTGGGCCCCGCCAACTTCACCAGCGATGAAATCTGCCGATACCTGCCGACAGCCGTTTCAAGGCCTTGTGCAGGTGCATTGCCACTGTAGAATGAAAACACCTGCGTGACAAGCAGCAGGATCGTCATACGCGTTTACAAATCGACACTGTACACCACACTTGCTCCATCACTGACTGAGAATTTCGAGCACCTGTGATTGAGGCAATGCATGATGGGCACATCGTAAGAGCTGCACAACAGCCAACAAGTCACCACAAAAAGTGAGAGACATTGCCATCTTTCCATCAAGACAACCTTCCAGTGCCCACCTTCCTGTCTCCTGTGGTAGAGTCGCCAAATCCATAGCAGGGAATCAGATGGTCGTCATCAAAGTCATGCAGGGTCTTGGCGATTATTGACATAGCATGCTCATATGGGTTTGGGCCGTCGTTTCCAGTGTGGTGCAGACACCTCCCATTGAAACTGTTCTTCCCAGTCCATTCATTGGACTTGGTGAAGTCGATGCCCACAATGAGCTGTGAAGACTCCAACCCTGCAGCTCGGAGGGCCTCTGTCACCCCTTCTGTGGTCTCATAGCTGTCCTTGATCACCCTGAAGGTGTATGCATCCTGTTTTTGGTTGGGCGCCTGTGCCCGCCCCTGCTTAGGGTGATGACGATGCTTGCTTTCACTTGCGCCCATAGCCTGAACACAAATGCGGAGGTCAGCGTGCATGTCAAGCCGCACAAAACACAAATCGCTTGCGAATGCCGTACATGAACCTGGGGCCTCACTTGTGGAATGACGGCCAGTCTTCCACACAAAATGCGACCTGCACGATGACTCTCACAAGGCGCCAGCTAAATAGACCCTTCGGAATCAGAAAGTCTGAGCCAAGCATCTCTGACAGCAGATTCGCGCAGGTGGTCTTACTCGCCTCCAGCAACTCCTTCTGGAGTATAGCGAAGCAAAAACGCAAGTACCTGCAGCTGATGATTTGCTTGTGCACAGCACAGCAGGCAATGGCATTTGTGGGTTCCATTACCACCAGAATAGGTTGCTAATGCAGGTCTTGTGCCAAAGCCACAGCCAGTTAGCCACGAAGCAACCTTCGGCTTGGGCAAAGCAAAACGCCTGTCTTGTGTACAGGTGCCTGGTTTCCACTCGTACAACGTCGAGTAGCTATCTTAAGAGCCAACTACGGCCGATCTTGCTATCCGTGGCGGATAGGGCAGCGCGGCGAAGGGATCATGGCCACGGGCAGGTCTATTCGTCCCTCTAGTCACTAGGTCCACTGAGTTCTACATGTTTGCCAACGTATCACATTGGGCAAGAACTGGAATGTCACCGGTGCGAATCGACCTTCGGCCAAGGCAAAGCGAGACGTTGGGGATGTGCGCAGGTGCCTTGTTTTCCAGCCTTGCTTCCTCAAACAGCCGTCTTAAAGGTGCCAACCGAACTGGCCGGTCTTGAAATCCGTGCCGGAAAGCGGCGCGCGGCGAAGGAATCATTGCAGCGTGCAGGTGTACTCGTCCCGCTGGCCGCTAGGTCCACCGGGTTCTACCCATTCGCCAATTCAGCACACTAGGCAACAACAGGCACGTCACACCGCTACAGTGCGCACCAATCCCAGCGGGCCCATAGCAGGCCGCAAGACGCGAAGGCGATCGCCCAACCCCAAACACACTGTTCTTGAACAACGGGTGGGCGAACCCAGCGCTCCCCCCCGCCGGCTTTGCGGAGACTTCTTTCTCCCTCTCGCAACCTTCGCGCGCGCCAACCAGGCTGTCTGAGGCCGCGCCCGCACCTGGCCAAACGGCGCGCTCCGCAGCTTCACTGGCGCGGGCTCTCTCGTCCGACACGGGGCGTGCACGGGTCAGGCGCCGGATGGCAGCGGCTCGCTGGTATTCTCAAGCCGCCCTGAGGCTGGGTTCTTCGCTGTTGCCTTTCGCTGTCCTGCGTTCACGTTTGCGAGCGGCCGCCGCGTCGTGTAGACTGTGCAACGAACAGTGGTTCGGTGGCCTATATATGACGAGCGGTCAGCTCGGTGGCCGGTTCCCGGACTGTGAAGTCGAACACGCATGAAGCGAGCGCGTATGTCATGACGGCGGCTCGCCGCGGGGCGGCACCTTAAGGCCGCGGGGGTTTACGAGTGCTTACGTGTGTGCACGCAAAGAGACCGTCAGCCGCTGGCGCGGGCTGAGCCTGGCTGAGCCCTGACTGGATACCGGGGCACAAAGCCTATATGTGGCCCAACTTAACGCTCGCTGTTGGTGCACGGAGCTGTGGCGATTTTCTAAGTACCCCAACCGAGATGACCTGTTTGAGGTTGTGCATTTTAGCCGTTTGATTGATTGATCTGATCTAATGCAACCTTGTTTGAGTTGTTGAGCATGGCCTGGAATTAGTAAGTTAAGGGCATATTGATTGCCCTGTTCTATTGCTCAATGTCCAGGAGTTCACCAGGAGAGAACCGCCCTTGCTGCAAACCCTAATGTACGAACCCCCTGATGTGTGCCTGAGCCGGAACGGAACGGTGAGCTGGGCCACAGAGAGCTGGGCTGGAATGAAGTCTTAAGCCACATGAATCATCACTAAAGGAGACATGAGCCGGGAATTCATCATCAGTAAGCTGTTTAAGGTATGTACGTTCGTTCTGATGGAGTGCCAAGGCCGGGACTATGGATTGCATTGGCGGGCATTACTGACTTCCAACATATTTCGCTGATTTGATTGACTTGATTACTGGACCATTGTGGAGGGATGTACTTGGGACTGACCGCGACTGCTGGGGACTGGAGTCGCTTGCTGGGGACTGGAGTCGCTTGCTGGCGACTGGAACTGCTTGTTGGGGCCTGGAATCACTTGCTGGGGACTGAAATTGAGCCAGTTGTATGGAATGTATGATGGGTTGTAACATGCTGGGTACAAGTGCCGGAGAACTTGAGACGTCTGGGGACAAGCTCAGGGGTTCTGTACGGGGATTGTAGCTTTGCAGGCTTTTCGAAAGGTGGCTAGGACCAGGGACTGGGACACCCTTTTCCAAAATAAATAGGCATGGAACATTTTTGTAACAACTCTTTCTGGGCCCACCATCGCTGCTGTGCATGTGTCTTTGTTTCCGAACTGTCCTCGGACAGTGTGTGCCGCAACCCGTTTCGCCTGCAGGGAAGGAGGCGACTGCGCTGTCTCCCGAAGATCGGGACCACATCCGATGCCCATCAGCCAGTTGTGACGGCTGGTCAGGCAATTACGTCTCTGCAGCAGGACAGGCCTGATCTGCATTCGTCTGGCGCTGCGAAGGTACGTGGGTTACCGCCACAGACCCGTGCCCATGCCTATGCCAAGGGCACGACGATATCGATCCTTCCAGATGGCAGGAGGAACGATGCCTCAAAAGTATTGGAGGGCTTCAGGATGTGCTCGGCCGGCCCAATGTACAGACGGCAAAAGCTCAGTGGCGACTCGAATCGCACGGGAATGCCTGCACAGCTTCCAGCCATTCAAAGCCAGAAGAACTGGCTTTCCAAAGAGGATGGTTCCAGTGTTCCCACCAAAAGGACGGTCTCAATCTGGCAGGACCTATTTTTCATGCTGGCCCATCCATTCTCTTCTGTGGCTCATGCTGGGGGAAGGCATTCCCATTCACCCTCTTGCACCAGAGTCCTTGTTCAGATATCGGTTTCCAATATTCAACCTTGCAGAGACTTTTATTTTTCCTTGTACTGTGCTCAAAATTCAGCACCATCTTCTGCAGTGCCCTGGCAAGGGCCTGGCTGCACCTTGCTGCTCCTGGTGACTGCTTTATAACCCTTCAGTCTTAGACCATCGTGGAAAATTCTTGGAACACTGGCAGTTTGTAATCTGCCAGGCCCAGAATGCGTGCCGTTGGTGGTCGCCAATAGCCTCATGAGCGAGGCACCATTTGCTTTTGCCAACCATCTTTGGCAAGATAGAATGCTGGATCTCTCGACAGGAACTCAGTCGCCAGTTGTGTTGCTTTACACTCTTGCAGGAAACCTGCACAAATCCCTTGCACAATTTCGCCTACCCAACTACAAACGTTTTCGATCACCTGCCATGAATCCCTCGAAATTTTCCCTGGCCCATTCCTCACACCAGTCAGGATCAATGCTTAGTAAATGGGCTTCTGTGTTGAACAGCCATCGATCCAAAGACACAGTACCCGATTCATCGAAGAGCAGGTACAGGTATTTCAACGTTTCTGCCAAAAAGTAGCTTTCCTGGACGTTGTTGTAGCTGCCTGGTTTCCGCACATCCCTCAGCCCACTGTACCCGCCCGAGGGAATCTTGCTGTGCTGTTCCCATGCACAGAACAGGTCCCAGCCCCACTGTTGGTAGCGGCTATCCCCAGTTATCTCGTGCAAGATGTATAGGCTCTCCACAGTCTCGGGCCGTAGAAGATGGTGCCTGCACACGCAAAGGCGGCCATTCTCTGCTCAGATCAGTGCTGTGCACTCACTGGTCAGTCACCTACCAGGAACCCACCTGCATCTGGGCATGGTCTGGCTAACAGGCACAGAACTTCACACACCACTGGCCTGTGCAGAACATTGTGCCCCAGCTTCTCGACTAGGCCACTATCAACAAATGTGAAATTCAATTGCCCGGTGGCCATCAGATTGAGCGATGCAACAGGCTGAAAGTACGGTAGCAGGTTGGCTGCTGCTGGGCTGCTTTGGTGATGCCCAGGTTGTTATACATGGAACAAAAGCTGACTTGCATATCCCAGGTCACGCCCACCATGAGTCTGTTGTGAAATCCTCGAAGCTGCCATCAGCTGGAGCCTCCAGGAAGTGCACCAGCTCCGGGCTCAGCCCCGTGCACTGCCTGCTGTAGAACTGCACACAGGTGCGCACCAGGTCACCCGCCAGCTCCAAGTACTCCCCCGCCTTCTCCCCGCCCACCTTCCTGGCCCCCAGGGCCAACATCCCCGGCGTGAAGCACGCCAGGTGGTCCATCTTAGGGATCTGGCTGTTGTTCACCCTGGCCAGCTCCGCTAGGAACTTGAGCCCGCTGGGCTGGGACTCCTCCACCAGCAGGGCGCTCAGGCCCCGCACCGACAGCAACCAGTTGTCCCTGTATTTGGCCACCACCTCCTCCGGTTCCCCCAGCGCCTGCGCCTGGATGCAGCGCTTCAGCAGGTACTCGTAGTACGAGTCGCCGCGCGCCCCGTAGCCGTAGCCCCCGCTGGGCTCCAGCGTGTAGGTGTCCAGGAAGAACGGCCGCTGGCCCATCAGGCTGGGCGTGCCGAAGATGACGTCCATCGTCCGCTCGGCCGTGGCCGCGTACGTGGCGTCGCCCGTCAGCCTGCTCAGCGCCGCCATCTCCAGCTGCACGGTGGTGGCCTCGGACAAGGAGGTCAGGTTGCGGCCCCAGGAGGGGTTCCAGGCCTCCAGGCTGCTGAGGTTGAGCGTGGCCAGGGGCAGGCCCGTGGGGCTGCCCTTGTACGCGCCCAGCAGCCTGTCCCCCAGGTCCACACCCCTCTCCAGGAACAGGCGGTCCCCGGTCAGATAGTACACCGACAGCAGGCCCCCAAGCAGGCGGATGGTGGCCTCGAAGAAGGACACAACGCCCTTGGCGGAGTCGAAGCGCAGGTGGTCCGCCACCCAGGCGCGGCCCTCCTCGTAGACGTCCCCCAGGCCCATCAGGATCGCCGTGTCCAGGGCGTCCACGATGGTCACGCCCAGGTCGCCGAAAGTGGTCTTGCCGCACTTGGACAGCGGCGCCAGCTCGTCGCGCCCCCAGGCGTACTTCTTGTGGGGAGGTGGCGCGCCAGGAAAGAGGTATTACCGCGGCAAATCCTCCCGCCACCGCGACGTCCCCGCAGCTCCCGACCGGGGCCCACTCGGCATCGTTGGCGCAGACGCCCGCATCGGATTCGGAGTCGGCCACATCGCCCAGGCACTCGCCGCGCCACGCCCCCCAGCCGGCCTTCCCGCCCGCGAAGCAAAGCGGGCATCCGACGGACCCCTCGGGCGTCTGTTCTGTCCCATCGGCGGTGTCCGGATCGCACAGCGCGACGACGGGCACCGCCGCCAGCAGCAACGCCAGGAGCAGCGGTGGGACAATTCTGTGGCCGGGGGGGCGGCGCGAGGATGCCCCCGGGCGTCTTTCGTCGGGGCTGGTTCGGATGTGCTCGCTGGCCCGGGCCGCCAACATTCAGAAGGGGCGGGCGGCCCGCTGGGCGTGTTTGGGCGCGGCCCTATTACTCGGCGGGACTGGGAGCGCAGCGCGCGGTGCGGGCGGGCAGCACCATGGCGGGCACATTTGAGGGCGGAGCTTCACCGCGCCTTCATGTGGGGGTGGGGGGTGTCGGATCCATGTTGATCTTGTGTTGGGTGGTCGTAGGCCCCACTCGTGCACTCCTATTCATGCGAATAGCCATCAGTTAGTGTTTACTAACGATTTGTTGGCGAGTTCTGGTCAGTGAGTTGCTGGTTAGCGAGCCTCTGTTCAAGGGGACCGTGGGTGGGTGCTTTGGATGCGCCTTGCGCTCCGGGAAGTACCCAATACATTTCTAACACCTCCGTTCCTGGGTAGCTTGGACCCTTCAGTTCACAGACACGTTGAATGTGGGCCGGGGGATCCCTGCTGAATGTAGCCCGAGGGCTAGGCGGACAGGGAAGGTGTAGCGCGAGGGGCGGGGCCTCATCAGCCCTCGGGGGCAGATGTGAGCCATTGCTATGTGGAAGACAACACCAGAAGATGTCGTGGCTGGCCGGAGTGCCGCAGAGCTGCTCTTCAGGAGCAACATCGGGCGACATTGACATTTGCTGGATGGTTGATTCTGCCTGTTATGAGAAAGCACTGCTCATAGCACTGCCAACTTGGCCCAATTATGCTGTAAACAACTGCCACACCCGTCAAAAAACATGGGGGCTCCGTGTCAAATATCCCTGCCATCTGTTGCCTACGCTGGACCTTCAACTAACACGGCACTGTGCATAGCTGTAATCGCCTTTGCACTGCATTGGCCATGCTGCTGGCATTGGCGTAACGGGGGCACGGGGGCTCCAAGAGCAACTATCTAGGCAACGAAGTCGACTTTGTGTGTTGTTGCCAACGGCGTCAAGGCGGAATGAGCGAATAAGCTACTGACAAACTCCAAAGGAGACAAGGAAAGGAGTCCACGAACCTGGCTTCAGGATGAAGTGATTGCTGGGGCTGGGAGCACATATGTATTGAATCCTGCTGATTCATGGAGGGCAGGTATGCTGCATACATACCTGCGATCACTGACTATACAGGCTTGACCCCCCAACCATTGAAGAGCCCAGGCAGACAGACCAACTGGGTCTGATCCGGAAAACCCTGAGATAACTGCAATACCATTGAGACATTGCAAAATAACGTTGAAGACAAGATGAGAACGTGGAGAAATTTGTCCCTGGGAATGATTGCTGGTTCCTGGCCCGCGTGAAAAACCGTTAAATTTGGAGTGCGCCGGTTCTGCTGCTGGTTGCGGGCAGACGCGCGGCGGCGTTGATGTCGGCTGACAATAGAATGCACACACATCAGTGCAAAAATGCAACAGTACTGCAAACATTGGGTGCTGTTTGAATCCTGCAAATATTCAGGGAGGCAGCAGCCAGGGCAGGCAGTACTGGGCCGTTTATTCTCTGGCGCAGAACACCACAAGCCCAGGAATGCCCTCCACAGAAAAACTGGTGAGGCCGCAGAACACCACAAGCCCAAGCATGCCCTCCACAGCACAGCTGGTGAGGTGCCACAATGCACAACAAACGGAATTGCTTACAGGCACCTCTGTAATCGCACATTCTGGTCCCTGCTATGAATAAGCCACCAGTGTTGAGGCAACTTGACCAGGTGTGCACGCTGTTCTCTACATGCCAGCAATGGGTTCTTGACAGCAATGAGCAAGCTGGAAATGATCGTGAACACAAAGACATGCAAAACAGACTTTTCCATGCCTGCTGTGGCGACATGTGTACAAACAACAAGGCAGTCATAATGTATTGACGTGCAAGAACAGTAAGATACATGAGATACAATGAAGCACAACTAAAAAAGGATTGCACTCCTCACTACCACAACGGCAAATGGTGCAATTAGGAACAAGTAGAGACAAACAGAATTCACCTCTGCCCAGAAGCTCATATAAAGCCTTCGATTCGACTTCACTGCAGCAGCCTCAAGCTGCAGAACTGACGAATATGGATATGAAGTGAGCAGCAACAGCTCGACCCCATAAAAATCGGCAGCTGCTTTCAGTGTGATATGGTCTCCCCAGGTCCCATCCTTTGCCATGTTCCTACAGTAGTCTTCAAAATCATCTGGTACAAAATCTTTGAATTCCTGTGGGTGGTCCTTGATGTGGCAAACCACAAACTCTCGAACTTCGTCATGATAGGCAGGCGTCCTGTACAGCTGATCCGAGAGGGAGCGGAACTGGTGCAGGAAAACAGAAATTAACCATTGGACTTGAGCACTGATGATCTGACAGGCATGGCCACAGGTTTGCTGCTGGCGACTGCCCACTGGCAGAAAGGATAACGTGCTTCAATGGGCCACCCTCTCAAGAAAGATTTTCATTTATTGCCACAATGAGGATCAAAGGACCTCGGTGAAGGCAATCGTCTTCAGGATGCACCCATTTTCACACCTGACAGTTGCCGTCCATTTCCATTTGCTTTTCCACCAGTCCGTACATTGACAGCCTCTCACTCAGGCGACTTCGATCAGCAGCGATGGTGGATTCGCTCGGTAATTGGGTGCAGTTTGCAGAAAAGCCGTCCATCTATTGTTCCAAACATATGGGCACATCAGCACATGGGCATTCCTATTGTGTTACAAACGGATCAAGGCACCATTCAGTTCATAGTCCAAGCAGCCTCAGGTACTGCCCGTTGTCCTTGCTCCACAATTTACAGAATGCCAGTCAGGGAATCGGTCCAAGGGGTAGTAGCCAGGGGAGAACTTGGACCCATTGTGCCAAACACTCAGATGCTGACACAGCGAAAGAGACGGGAGCGGCACAAGGGAACCTCTTGCAAATCAAAACCACCTCTTTGCGGTGTTAATGCAGTGAGGCTGTTGATGATGATACCTTGGATGACGGTGCCTTCTGCAGTTTCTCGGACACCGTATTGTCCAATCCATCGGTCACGATGGAGTGTAGCGAGCCTAGAGGCAACCAGCACCGCTGCGTCAATCCAATTCAAGACATTGTGCAATTTTCAAGGATCCCTTACTCTACTCCACCCTGCTCTACTCTACGTTACCCTGCTGTTCTCACGCTCGGTTCGCGCATCCGGCTGCGACAACCCACAACCACCACTTTGGTGCACCGGTGTCGGTCCGCACTCCGCCTCTCGGCCCCTGCTGAAGGCGCGTGTCTGATACACACGCGAGCAATCCGCGGCCGTCCCTACCTTCACCAGAGCAGCTGGCCCAAATATCCGGGCAGCCGAGCACTGCGCTGCTTGAACGGCGCACTGACCCCGGCGATCACTATTCACGAATGCGCCCTCACCTGCCGCCTCAGCGCACCGCCCGAGTTCGTCGAGAGCATCTGAATCCTCGTCGTGGATCCCATCTTCGGCATTTTCTTGGCTGCCCATCACGTAGAACTGGTCATCCGCCATCTTGTGCAACAGCCCGCAGACCAGTCGCCAGGGCATCAAAATCCCAGAGGATTCCGTCCACAGTTATCTCGACGGGCCAGTGGCCCAGCCCCCGTGATGCGTCCCTGCTCTGCACCGCAGAAGGTCCTTCCCTGTGCGGCAAAGGACGACCGCCCTCGTTGAGCGGCGTCGCAGCACGACGCTTTTCCCGCCAGCGTCGCCCCGCGTCCGTGGCGCGCGCATTGTCAGTCAAAGGCACCGTGCAGATGGGCGCACACAATCGTGACTAGGACCTTCTGCGCGGTTTCAGGGGCACTTGCCAGCTTACTCCCACAGGAACCGCGGGCGCAAGGGCGCGGCGGACCAAGGAGCGCCAAGACTTGGCTGAGTGGGTCAGCTGGCCAGCCCAGCTCCCTCGCTGCCGCCGCCCCGCCGCGATGGCCTCGCGGAACAGACCCGCCAGCGGCGCCATGCCGCCGGCGAGGGGCGGGATCAGCGGCGTTGGAGGCAGGCTTCCCGATGCCGGCGAAATCGGTAGGATCCCGATTATCCTTTCTGGCGGCTCGTGCACTTTGACCCGGGTTTGGTGCAGCTGGGGCGCGAGGAGCAAATTCCAGAGCGTGCCGGCCTACTGTCGCTGTCATTGCGCCAGCGCCCTGGCGCTCGCGCCGTTTCGCACCCTCGCGCAAATGGGCACGCCGTCGACATCTCGGGAGCTCGCGGCGTGTTTGGAGATTTGCGCGATGGAAGCGTCCGCATGGAAGAGACCGGCCGGCGTTTGGTGATCATCGACTCGTGAACGGTGCCTTACCACCGCGATTGGGTGTTCCAGGACACGAGGAGGGTGCCCGCCTGCTGCGCTCTTACGTCCAGGACACCCTTCGCTCCAAAGCCGTCGGTGATTCCGCACAGTACCTGGGGTGAGTCCGCCGCCGCGCCCAACGCCAGGGCCTTCCACGCTACATATAACTGTGCGAGCCGCGGACGACTGTGAGCAGCGTCGTTGCTGCTGCTGCTGTGACCTTCATTTGTCGTGGTTGGTGGAGTTCACAGCAGATGCCGGCGCCTCCATGGGCATTGCTGATAGGGTATCTCAATCTCTGCCACCGCGGAACCTGTCTCCTGAGCTGGTGTGCAGTCCATGTTGCCCACACAACTCTGTGAAATAAGCGCAGATGCGCAAGACAAAATTTGGACAATGGCACCGACGGGGCTGCAATACCCAAGTGCAAAGTTTACAGCTGGACAAACTCCCACTCGGAAGGGTGGCAGGCAGAACCTGATCTGAAGCTACTGGTCCTTGGCAGGTTCGTGTACGACTTTGTCCAGCTCAAACAGTCGGATGTTCAGAACAGTGCGGAATCAGCCAACAAGTATGCAGCACTGCTGCGTGCCATCGGTGACTCCGTTACTTTTCTGAACGAGAGCAGTCACGACAGGCTCTGTCAGGAACTCTTGAGTATCAATTTGTGGACGGCGCCCCAGGCAAGTTGTTCAGAGCATGACTGCACATGTGTTCTAAGCGTTTGATACACATTTTGGAGCAGAGCACGTCCAGAATTCAGGATTTCCCTGTTAATGCACATATGTCGTTTGTGATTGGAGGCATCAGCCGCACTTTGGCGTGACAGTGGGAACAAACATGCAGGCCCCTTCAGGCATAGCTATTCCACCTCGCTAAAGGGTTTCTTGTGCTCGAATACGAACTTGCGGGATGGAGACTTTCTGTTGTTGGAAACAAGTATGGCAGGCGGATGTGTCTTCCAACATGGCCTCTGTCATGTCATCTGCAGGTGGCCCAGCATGTCAAAACCACAACATCTTGATATACACTCAATGGTTGACCACTGGGAACACAACATAAGCAGGGCAGCTGGCTTTTGCGTTAACCAGTTGTCCATCAGCGTCAGTTAAAGCAGCCAATGCAGAGCAGTTCCACAGCATCATCTATGCAGTGAACATTAAACTTTTGTGTCTCTGTGTCTGCATGTGTGTTGTGCATGCTTTTGAAACGGCCTGTTATGTGGTTGATAAGCATATCAGTTTAGGTTCGCTGAACATCTCTGCATTGCACAGGTTGTGGCCATGGCCTATGCACAGCTGCTTGTGAACCTGGCAATTTCCAATCAAGCCTTTGTCCCAGGTGTGTTGAAGTGGTTGATAAGGAGCTTCAGGCCAATCCACACAGCGGCAGAGAAGGGGTCCTCCAAGCCAGTGAGATGGCATCAGTCACAAAGGGAGAAGCAGGTTCAAGATGTAGTGATGGTGACACTTGCCAAGGTACAGGCATTGCTCCTGTCTAGTAAGTACCATGGTAGACGTTTTGTGCACCTTGGATTTTTCTGTGACTTGAGCATCCTGCCACAAGCAGGGGTTTCAATTGCAAATTTACCAGCATGTGTAGCAGCAGACAGGTCCGTACTGTGTGAAGTTTCGCCCCACTCCTTTCCTTGTTAAAAACTGTGCTGTTGAACAGATAATTGAATTCGTTCCGACTTGCAAGGCGGTGGTGCTCAAACACTTCACATCCAGGAGGCCAAACTTGTGGTCGAGTCAATCTGACCATTGCCTCTACTTAAGGGCTCTATGTGACCTTGCGGAGCTCCCTGCTGTGGTGGACATGAGAGAAAGCCTCCTGATGAAGGCAGTCGACCACCTCATGATGATCGATGTGGAGATCAAGGTGGAGGATCTTCTGGAGCTACCTCAAGGTGCTGTGATGTCTGTGCTCTTTGTCCTAAATGGAAGTATTGCTGCTATTCCAGCGGATCGTTTCAAGGGCTGCTTGCTGTTCCACACCTTTTCCTGTGTGCAGGCAGTCCAAGCGAAATACCAACTTTGTTAAAGTTTTCCGGGCACATGTCTTCTACCCTTTTGGTATTCTCATTGTGTGGCTGAAAATGGCATGAATTTGTGTAGGTTAAGCAAGCCTTGACAAAGTCCTCACACCTAGTTTGCTGTTTTACAGCAGAGGTCTGACCTGATAGGCATGTTTTGGTGCACAGGTGGCAACTCCGATGAAGATGATAGTGTTTTTGATTTGGAAGCTGAAGACAACAGAGACATCGCAACTCCTAGTGCAGTGCAGAATAGGTCTGATTTGGAGCGCTCTAGAAAGCTCATGGCAACAATGGACTGCCTCATGGATATCATATTGCGACACCTTAACAAACGATGTGAAGCAGGGCAGCTTCCCTTGGTGCGTACGCAGCAGTGCAAACCGTTCTGCAGTCCTTTGCAGTGCATATGAATCGAAAACAGTGCTCCTGCTCCCACAAACATTGTGAATGATCAACATTGTCTCCTCAAGTGGTATAGCAAATAGCACCACAGTGTTGTACATCATTGTCAGACAGATAGCAGCCTGAATGTCACTTGTGCCCAATATATCTGCTCATCCAGAACAAATTATTTTTCTGTTGCAATCTTGACAAATGCCAAGGTCTGACATTGTGCAACAGGAGTGTTCTCTTGGTACGGATATTGTTCGCTCCAAGGCAAGGAGCCCTACTTGCAGACTTGAGTTTGGGTGCACATGTTCCAGGTGTGGGAGACGATGATGCAAATCTTTCATCAGACGCTTTGTCATGTGGGAGACGATGATGCAAATCTTTCATCAGACGCTTTGTCATGTGCACAAGTCAAAGTTCAGCCAGTACATAATCTTCTTCCTGGCTTCACGGGACCCAACGAGGTTGTGCAGAGAGTTCGCGTCACACCTGCTGGCCACAATTCGCAGCAACGCCCACCCTGCAGCAGTCAGGTCCTCATGTGCCGCGTACCTGGCAAGCTTCATGGCCCGTGCTGTCCTCTGTCCTAAGGAACTCCTTGTGCCCTGCTGCGAAGCGTTGGTAGAAGAGTGCGAACGGTACATGGGGGAGTATGATAGCAAGAGGGAGCAACAAACGTATGTCGAGGCATTCCTGGGGACATCAGGTGCTGAGAAGGTCCTCCAACATCAGGTGGGTGCATGCCAATTGCCATTGTGTGCTTGTCAGCTGATGACCGAGTGAAACTGCGAAATAGAATGTAATTTGTGATGCGTTGCATTGTTCCCAAATTTGACCTGGTGTACCGTTGATGATTGTCGTCATTTTCGAAGTTGCCTGGAGTTATCCGTTGATGTGCTGCTTGAGTGATTGGTGCCTTGCCCATCCCCCCATCATGCCCTCAAATTTCTGTCGATATGTGGCAAGCAATGCCCCTGTGCACCTATTTGGTGGTGCCAGACATCTGTGGTGTTCTGCTGTGGATTCTTGCGTAGACAATCGACAGATGGGAACAGTTGAATTTAGGTTGCTACACTTCGAGATGTGGATTGCATGGCTGTGAATGGTTGCTGAGTTGCTCATTCCGAAAGTGCGATATCTGTTTGTGGCAATATTGTGGGAAGAGCAAAAAATGCTGCAGGACAACAAGGGGTGTGTTGTGGGAACTCAACGATTTGACCACTTTGCTGCACTGTCGATGCAGGTTTTCTACTCCGTTGCCCAGGCGCTGTTGTATGTTTTGTGCTACCATTTGGAGCCCCTCCTAAATAGCAACAGCAATGAGCGTGGTAGTGTTCAGCATCTGGTGCAGGACAAGCTTCGACGCATCTTGAGCCATGAATTGGACCCACTGAGCATGTGTTTGAAGCCAGTCGTCCAGAACTTCTTGCACCAGGCATCTGAGCTTGGGCTTGGGGACTTCTCCTGCCTTCGGTTTCAGGTGTGTTATTGGCTCAAGTGCGTCCTCACAACGCTACACAGGGGTGCATAGTTTCGACTGGTGTGGAAGAAAGGTTGCCTGCCTTCTACACGAGTACGCTCATGCACGAAGCTACCCTGGCAGGGGCATCCACGCCTTGTGTTTTTGTACTGTTGCTGTGTCTTCGAGTTCAACCTTCCGCAGCTGTCTGTGATCCCCTCAAACCACTGGTGTGACTGTGGAGAGCAGGTGAAAGGGGCAGTCCGTTGCTCAACATGTGTTGAAATATGCAAGGAATTTGGAAGTGTGCACAGTAACCAGAAGTGGACATTTCTGTGCATCTCTGCAGAAAAAGCAAGTTGCATGTGCCTGTCCTTGGATACCTGTTCTTACCACCATGCTTTGCTGAACAGTAAGACAACAACTGTTGCGGCCAAAATCCAGCAACAGTGGTGTGGCCGCTCTGCACAACAAGCGTGCTTTCTATGTGCGCAGGATGTTGGAGGTCGGGGCCACCGTCGGCTAGAGACATTTTTCCCTTTTGATCCCTATCTTCTGCGGTGGTCCAAGGGGCATTTGAAGCTGAACGAGTCGTATAGGCACTGGCGGGGGTACAAGGACGATGACTCTGAGAGCTGCTCAGAGAGCGACGACAGTTCAGATTCAGGTGTGTGCGCTCCTTCGCAAGCGGACAGTATGTACCCGCAAGACTGTCGCAAGGCTGCAGCCAAGCCCTGACCACTGCAAACCCTCAATCACGAGGGGGCTACAATATAGGACATGCTGCCTGCTTCCAGGAGAATGTCGCTGGCATTGACATCGCTGCTCATGCGTTTCTGTCTCTTCTGTTTTGGCCACATGGCACACATTGCATTTGCGGCGATCACCAGTGAAACCGCAGGTGTTGCCCAAAAAAATACATCTTGTATCGCTGCTAGTAGATTGCGACTGGATTTGCGGTTCCGGAATGGCCACACATGTTTTCCTGTGTTGTCACATCCAGAACGCCACCACCTGCACACGATACCCCCGCCACCTGTCGTATCGAATGTCACCAAGTTTGTGTTTGCAGGATCGGGCTCGGACCAGGGTTCTGACACGGACGATGACATGATTGACGCCTCTGCACCATCTCACGCAGCGGAGCCAGTGCCCTTCAGATCGAGGCCGGTGCCGGTTAGCGCTGCTGACGGTCGGCAAGACCCCATCATGGGCATGTCACCCTTGGACTATGGAATTAGCGTCAGCGTGTCCCCTGCGAGATAAGTCCACCCACCACGGCCTTATCTCCTTGCTGTCAGCATTGACTTGTGGGCTGTGGGTTGAGCGATGGTGTCGCCCTGCTGACTGCGATGTCGCCAAGCTAGCCGGGCGCGGTCTGTCGACCCCCTCGGGCCTGCACATCTATGTGGGGCAGTCCTTAGGTAGTGAGAGACATGAGAGGCAAACTTCTGTAGGATTGGTGATATGACCGCTTCCCGTGCCATGCTGATGAACATGGGCGCGATCGGATGGAGAACTGCCGCAGGCACGCAAGCACGGCAAATTGCTGCGCTCAACCGCTACCAGCGAATTGAGTTGATGATAATGGACGGAGTGGCTGGCAAGAAATTGGACCCATAGCACAGCACCACACTTGTGCCGCATATGGGCCTCTCGCCAGATCAACCGCCCACGCCTGCTCTGCGGCACGTCATTGTCCCCCAGCATTTTTCGACTATCAGTTGCTGAAGTGCATCGAAGGTATCACCGGGGCAGGTGTGCATTTGTGGGGCCGACATATGTTGGGAAAAATAGTGTGCCTCCCGACGGAATTCACTTTCCCTCGAGGGAGACGCACCACCACACAGGGTTACATTACACTGTAGTAGTACACGTAATCTTCAACCATCCAGTTCATGAAATCGGTATTCTTGGACTCGTCTTTGCTGTTTCAATGCTTGTCCCAGGGAACGAAATAAACCCCCAAACCCAGACTCGTGCATTGCTATCCCCAGAGCGCTCTTAACAAGAGCACCACACAAACAACACACTTGCTAAGAAATTCACAATCATGGCTCCCTGCCCACTGCGGCACACACTCTCAGTCTCTCGTGTCAAGGTTCCAGTCTCGTGCCACAGTTGCACCATGTGGTGGCGTTCAACCAGCAATCGACACATCTGAGAACCTAGTCGCTCTTCGTCGCCTTGAGACGCTCCACGATGCCATGCACGAATTCGTTGCTTTCAATCTTCTCGATGTATGGCATTGCGTACGGAGAGACCACAGAGACAACCTTCTGGCCAACAACAGAGTTTTGAGCCCAAGTGATGTAGCCGCTGGCAGTCTTCAGCGCCTTTGCATAGTAAGGAGAACCCTGGATGCACACAGGCAACGCAATCAGGCTTGTCTGTTTGCTACCTCTCAAAACGTTAGACCAACACAGGACTCCTTCATGGTAAGGTTTGAAACAATATCGATCCATACGCCATCTGTGCAGGCACCTTTGCATCATATAACAAGGATATTCATCCTCTTCTGTGGGACTGGCTCTGTGGGTTTCATGCCTACACGCTACTCAAGCTGCTGAGCATCCTACCGGATTGCCCAAAACTGCAGTGTTCAACGGTCCGGGAAGCGATTGAAAGGCATGTGCAGAAAAAACACAAGCATACTCATCATGCACGTCCATCTTTGTATTTATGCGCCCCAACCTAAACACAACGCCTACGGGAGAGGTAAAGTCGGTCTATTGTTGACAACAGGCAAAGCTGCACAAGTCCAGCCATGGGTTGATGTCCTTGCATGGCTCGGTCCAAGGGCAGAAAGGGTTGCCAGGCTTACCACCACATAGTCCACCAGGGCGTTGGCCTTTTCAGTAGCAGTCTTGAGTGGAGCTTTGGCAACCTCTCCAGTGCTTGCCGCTGCAGCAACAACACATCTGTTAGCTTCAGCTCAACCACACACATTCACACCTGCCTGTCAATTCTCAGCTGTTGAACATGGCTCGAGTGAAATCGGCCATTAACAGTATGGAACAACACACACGTCCACCCTGCTTGCCAGCGATGTCTTGGTGCAGGCCACTGCAGCACTGCTGACACGCCAAAGCAACACATCTCCAACACAAAAGAATACACAGAAGAGCATTGATAAAAAGATCTACTGCAAAACCACAGGGATTTGCTACCAATAGCGAGTTGGTCTCCGAAGGTCAATCCCACAACTGCGGAGTTGGGTGTACGAATCTGGCCAGGCTTGACACACTGCAACCATTCCACTCACCCGTGTCATAGGCCATGTTTGGGAGCTTCTTCAGATAGTCCACATAGGCCTCCAAAATTGGCATTACCATCTCCTTGCCTTTAGCAATGAACGATGTCGCCTGTGAATAGCATGAAAATTCCTAGTTACATTCCCACACTGTAAGCATAACACAGCAGAAAAAGGCTGTGTTCTTTAAAAAGTGCCTACGTTTGGTAAAACTGCCATGCGCTCATCCATGCTTCATTGTGCCGCTAGCACCAATCACTCATATTAGCGTGATTCCTGGCAGCGCACCCTGACAAAGTGGGTGGCAGGATTTCCAAAGAACACCTACCGCAGCGGATCCGGTGATCTTGCTCCACAGCTCCTTGGCATACTCCATGGCCACAGACACCTGGCTCATCTTACCCGCTGCACAGGACAAACCTCGGTTTCAGAGTAGTGCCAGAGCGTGGCGCTCCCGCCCTCGGACATTCCCAACACGGAGACTACAAGTTAGCTAGCCCTATTCAAAGCCTGCAATGAACCGCAACTCGTCACATCCCCAGTGCGGATTCCAGCTCCGGAACAGTCCGACAGCGCCCAGACGGAGAGTCTGCGACCAGCCAGCGGCAAGGTACAACTCCTCGCCGCCTGCGCTCACCTTGCTCCGCGCCAGCCTTGAAGGCGTCCATAGCATACCCCTGATATTTCTTGAGGCTTTCAGAAACGGACGCCACTGCGCCCCAGATGCCCTTCTCCTTCAGGGCATTGGTCATGGCCTCGAACTCGCCGCTCACTGCCTCCCGCGACTTGACGAATGTCTTGAGGCGCCCTGAGTGCGTGTCCTTCAACTGCGCGGTGTATTCCGCGATGTAGCTCTTCGACGACTCGTAGTACTCCAACGCAAAAACGTAGCGCCGGTCCAGCTGCGACAGCAACAAGGAAAAAACTCACGTCCTGAGCTCGAGCGCCGACGAGCTGTACATTGTAAAGGCGGGCAAGAGCCGCTGAGTCGACCGGGGGCGCTACAGATCCACACGTGGCGGACAACCAGCAGCGCGGCGCAGCACGGGCTGCGGCGAGCACTACCGCACAGCGCGGGCACCCGCATGCCCCATCCCTCCCCGTGGCCAAGATCCCGCCCGTGAAGCGTTCCAGTGCCGCTTCCCTTGCGCTTCCCTTCCGCTCGGCGGCGCCCATGGACACCGATGGACACGTAGCGCCAGCAGTGCAAGCGGCTGGCCGGACGAGCGTGACGAAGCCGATTGCGGCCGCAGAAGGCTGACCGGCGGCGGCGGGTGGCAGTGGCGCCGCGAAAGGGGTTCGGCAGTCGCCTGTTGGCGCCCGGTGCCGAGCAAACACACCAAACCGGCTTGCCAACCCCGGGGATGCCGCCCCACGCCAGCGGGCCGCTCAGCCCCGCAAGGCAACTGCGGCGGCATCGAAAAATCCGGGCAGCTCGACAGACAGTTGCAACGGAGCGCGCGCGCGGGGCGCCATTCCCAACCCTCTCCGCCCCTCCATCGATTACTCGTTGGCTCAGAGCGCTGCGAGTCACGCCCGATCACAAACTTCCCCACGTGATGCACCAAACGAGCCGCTCGACTCCCCCCACCGAGCGAATCGCGCCTCTCCCGGCCCATGCCCGCGCCAACGGTCGCGGACGGCCCCGCCTTCCTCAGGGGCCAGCCCACCCCGTCCCCCACCTGGCCGTCCACCCATTCCAGCAGTCCCGTGGCGTTCTTGCCCGCCTTGCTCACGACGGGCTCCACGGACGACCTGTACACCTTCAGACTGGCGTCCTCGGCGGACTGCACCACCCTGTCCGCCACGCCGGGCAGGCACTTGCGCCCCGAGGCGTACACACCTAGCGCCTTCTCGCCCAGGCCTTGCATGTAGGAGGCCAGAGTCACCACGAAGCCCAGATGCTTGAGGTCCGCCATCCAAACGGGACCTCGGTGTAGGGGGAGGGTGGCAGGGGGCGGTGGCGAGCGGCCTGCGGTGCCGTCCGTGCACGAATGGGGCGGTCGCGGGGGGATGAATGCTTCTTGGCTGGCTCGGGGCACGGCGGCTGTGCTTATGATTATGTGGTAGGGAGGTGGGCGCGCGTCAGTGTCGCGTGTGGGCCGCGTCAGCACGTCCTGCGCGGGGCTCTTGCGGCAGGTTTTCGTGGGGCCCGGGGGTGAGCGGTGAGCCGTCCCTGGGGTCCTGAACGGTGCAAACAAGGGCTTGTCACACCATGCTCGCAAAATCGGGTAAATGAACGAGTATGATACCCAGAGATTGAGGGGAAGCTTCTCCACAGCTTCCTTGGTTGCCAACCACTGCCATAGAATACACATTACTTCTCTCAGCACTTTAGGTAGCTGGTAGTACTCCACGCACATGTCCCACTGAGCCATCGGCGTGCCCAGAAGTACTCCCCGCTCCCCTTGGTTGTGTTCTAGTACTTAAGGGAATGTTGTATTCACCATCGTACCCACAACAGTACATAGTGACGGCAATATGGTGCCAGTCACGTGCCCCCCTCAGCGGTCCCCCTCGCCTACACTTCACGAAAGGCAATAGTGGTGATGGGGCCCTGGTACGATTGGTCATTGTGGTAATGTTGTGTGCATGGTTAGGTGAACTGCACATGGGACTATGTCTTGCAAGGTCATGTAGGGGGTCGAGCTCGACCGAGCAGAGCGAGGTCGTGCGGAGGGTCCCGAAGGGTACTCGCAAGAAAGGGGGGTCCGGGGGCGTGCAGAGCCCAGGCTCCGCGTGGAGCCCCCATGGCCACCGGAGATAATGAGACTAAAAATACACATTGCCCCAGCAAACATGCTCGCTCGAGTGGTGCACACGCACACACACATTTGCTGCAAATCGTGTGCCAAATCGCAGGAAGCTTGCAAACTTACAAATGTGGTACCCTAAACCCCAAACCCTGTACCCCCAACCACTTTCTTATGGGCGTAAGCGAGTGTCAAGGTTGTGCTCCAAGACGCCCACCCTAAGGAGTCAGCACACCTTTCTGAAGTGAAAGGTCACGGCGATCGACCCGTTGGATCGATCGCACCAAACAGAATTGACCTTTCCCCGCTACACCCCACACCACCCCACATCCCAACACCACTTGCTTCCAGTCGGCAGCCAAGGAGGCACCTCAAGATGCCGCAGTGAGGCCGCCAAGCCTCTTTGAAGTGAAAGTCCACAGCGATCGACCCGTTGGGTCAATCGCCAAGGACGCATTTTCGAATTCGAACATACCCCCTTATCCCACCACCCACCTCCACCTCCACCTTCCTAAACTGCCACCCGTTCTAGTCTATGGCCAAGAGGTGCCAAGAGGCACTTCAAAGCGGCTGCCCAGCTTGGTCGAAGTGAACATCGTAGGGTTGTGTCGATTGCTATCAACAGATTTTTGACGTGGCCCCTCTCAAACCCCACTTCCCCCCGCCTTCTCCCCTCCCCCCACCCCACCCCAATGTGACTCGAGCCAATGCCATAGGCGATGGCAAACGCTACTGCCAGCCACTCGCCCAAGCACCGCATGGGTTCACGCTACCCGCTGCATCTCCCCCGCTTGCCAGTCAGTGGTCAAGGGTACGCACAGCGCTTGTCGCGGAGCTCCCCACCCATGCTTTGTAACGCAAACGTCCTAACTGCTGCATGCGTAACGCGAAAAAGTGACCACACGCACGCGGCGCATAGCACCAAAGGTGTCCCAGACCCCCCCCCCCCCTCCTCCTTTATCCCCTTAGTCATGCGCCATCCCACCAACGCCCAGGCGGAGACAGAGGAATCCCGGGGGAAGCCGGTGGGAGCCGGGGTGCGCTCACCCTGCATGGCGCCCGCGCTCCGCGCTTTGGTGCAGGCAGCCGCGGGTGGGACTGTGAGTGGGCGGTCGGGGTCCTGCCGTGCACCAGACGCCGGGCAAGCAAACCTGGGGAATTGAGCGTGAGCATCCGGTCGGCGGCCATGCCGCACGTGGGGTTGCATGTGCGCCGGTCAAGGAAACCTGGGGTTGGACTACGAGTGGGCGATCGGGGCCATGCCGCGCGCCGGACGTCGGGCAAGCAAGCCGGGGGGATAGGGCATGAGCAGCCGGTCGGCGGCCATGCCGCGTGTTGCGCCGCACGCGCGCCGGTTAAGGAAGCCCGGGACAAGTGGCGTGCGTATGGCCGGCGCCCGCAGCGTGCACCATCTGCACGCCGCGTACTGGTACAGAACCACACAGCGGCCGAGAGGCTCACCGGACGTTACGGAAACCGTGCAATAGAGGTTGCCACCCAAATCCATTAATAGCGGACGGGGGTTGCCGTCCGTTAATATCCGTTAATTTAGCAGACCCCGCTTCTCTGTTGCTAACGTGGTACGGATGGCAGCGGACGGCTGGCCCCAATTAGCGGACTTTGCGGATTCCGCTTGGGTGTTAACGGATATTCTCTTACGGACCGGAAACCACGTACCCCATCTGCTAATTTAGCGGATGACAGCGGACGTGTGTACCGAATCAGCGGATGACAGCAGAGCCCATGTAGTAAGTACTGATTTCC